ATGGCGGCGGCGGCAGCAACAATACTACAGCGAGAATAAAAGTTACACCTTCTTTCTTTGCCATTTGGGCAGTGTTATGCAAATCTTCCCACATCTTGACGTAGACATGTGGGGGCGTGTTTAAACGAGGCGTTTTACGAGCGCGTGGACAAGTCTTAACTTTTATAAAGAATATCTCTTTTGGTTTGAGACTTTAGTCTTTGCAACTTTAGGGATCCTATGCACGAACAGCTTGTAACACTCCAAAGAGAAAGGAAAATTTGAAATTGCATGACCCCTTTAATAAAATTAATTAAACTAAAAATTAATAAAATAAACACTTAAATGTGTATTTTAGATGTTTGCTTTCCACTACTCTGATTGTTATGGAAGCAAAATAGCCCAAAACCCCAAAATTGACCAGTGTGTGAAAAAAAAACAATGTGTTTGCTGTAGTGTTTTGTCTTAAATGAAAACGTGTATTTTCCTTTTAAGCCTTCACGTTATTTATACACATTTAATGAACACACGTCTCAGACGTTTGAATTACTGTAATATTAGAAAGCAAAAGTGTGAATGAGTAGAGAAGAAGATAGGAGGCAGAGGACAGCAGTGTGAAGGATGATAGAGGAGAGGATGGGAAGCAGGGGATGGAAGGAGGGAAGGGGAGGAGAGCAGGCAGCGGAAATCGGCGGGTCGCTGCTGGTTGGTTCGGCGCCGGTGGAGGGAGTCATTCCTGCTGCAGTGCTTCCGGTCGGCATTTTGTTCTGCGAGAGAGAGAGAGAGTCTGTGTGGATTCTTTTATGAGCGCCCAGGAGCCTTTCGGCACCGAATCCTTTCTGCCATCGTCCGGAGTAAAGTGCGAGCTTCCGCGGGCGCCTGCGAGAAGAATGACCGCCGCCCGTCCGTCTTCATGTTTGCAGTGAGAGGAAGCGGTGCGACCCGGATTATTGTTGTGAGAGGGACACAGCGAGCCCGAACCCCTCCACCTTCACCTTTCAACAACAGAGCCTCAGGTAAATGCGCCGGACCCGTTTCGCTGGTTCCGAGCGGGAAAACAGAGTAGCCCGGTGTCGGGGTGGGACGTGCTTTGGACTTTCCTAAAGGTTATCGGTGTTGTGCAGCCCTCGCTCAGTGTTAGCATACGCGTTAGCTCGGTGCGGGCCCGCAAGCGAATCCGCGGTTCGGATGGTTCGCGAACGTAAAGGCCAAACCTGGCCGGTTAAAATGACTCAACCGGTTCAGGGGGCTCATCTGGAGATGCAGGTGTGCAGCTGAACCTTAAGCCCGGAGATAGGAGTCATACAGGCCTGCAGCTCCGCAGACCAGAGTAAACAATACTGTCCTCTCATAGTAAACCTCATTCACCTTCCATCAGAGTAAACAGTACTGTGCTTTTAAAGTAACACCGTTTTCAGCATCTGTCAGAGTACACAAAATCATATCAAAACAATCCTTATTAACTAGAAATTTGAATAAACAATACTCTCATATTCGAGGAAAACTTATTAGCCAGCAGAGTATAAACAAAAATCATATTAAGGAATTCTCATTCGCAGTCTGTCAGAATAAACAAAACTCACGCCTTATTTACCATTTAGCTCAGTAAACAATACCATAACCATCAAGATTAGATAGTAAACCTGATTAATTAACTATCCAATAAACAATACTCCCCTCTTAAAGCTGAACTTATGAAACATCAGAATAGTTTGATTAATGAGATCCACAACATCTAATTAGAGCAAACCTTTGAGAATCTGTCAAAGTAAAGAGCAAACAATGCACTCATATTGAATAATACTGGCCTTTAATAATTAATCTGAGAAAATCTATAATCAGATATCTATCAGTCATGGTTTTGGCAGAATAATTATCCAAATATTCATAACTAGCTGGCTTTGTGAAGGGAATATAAATGAATTATTGGAATCTAAAGGGCTTTACCTGCAGCTCAATATACTTCATTTACTAAGGCAAATATGAAATGAGTTGCGATGACCGTTTACTGTCAATTATCTCTGAATATAAAGGTTTGTTAAAGCATATATTAATTAATTAAAGTCATGGTGAGATTAGTAATATCTTAAAACATTTATAATGCTCAAACTCTGAATGTTTATGACAGTAATAGGTGTTTATAAAGAACAGAATTATCAGTCTTTTATAAACAAAAACTTTCAGTAACTCATATCTAAACTGTTATTTTTATAGATATTTTATATATTTTAAAACAGAATATTGAGCCTTTATTGATTTAAAAATGCAGTTTGGGTTTGAAAGATTTATGACAGCAAAGAATGAATGAATGAATGAAATGCTGCATGGATTCAGTTAGCTTTAGTAGTTCTTATCCAAAACATGCACAAATCAAAAACCAAATATAAATTTAAAGTTCTCTGTCTGTTGAAAAGATTCTGTCTTCATAACGGTAGATTCAGAGAAGGGATTACAGTTGAAATCGCTCACAATTATGACAAAACTGTCAGATTTGTTGGTTTAAATTGCTGTGGTGTTTTATTGGAGCAGCTGGTGCTGGAGAAACATTGAGCTGTGGCTGTAATCTGGGAATGAGATTTCACATAGGAGAACTATATTAATATATTTACCTTTAATACATTAAAAGACATGATAAAGCTTGTCCTGAGCTGAAATGTAGTGTTTTTAAATGACTTGCCAGTTCACCATAATTTGATGATTTTGTGGTATATTTTTTCTTGTCATCTTTCATTTTTACTTGGATACATTTTTGTGTAATAAGAAATAGCACTTTTCCTGGTTTTGTTGCACTATTGCACTGTTGTCTAGTCCGTCAGTACTACAAATTAGAAGTATTTTGTTATTTTTATTATTATTATTAATAATAATAATAACATATCGTAGTCAAGAGGAAATGAAAAATTAGCCTGAATATCGTTTGTTAAACATTTAAAAATAATCAATAATGGTTGTAGTCTAGAAAAAGAAAACTATATTGGTCAGTTTGTTCTTGTTCTTACATAGGCCATTACCATCTGAAATGTAAAAATCTTTTGCAATTCATCTTAAGTAATTTTTTCTTATTAGTTGTATTTTCTGAATGTTTCCTCCATTCCACTGCTTCCAGTTGCTCTTATAGCAGTAAAGCGCGGGGCATCCACAGGCAGCGGCACGTCTTTTATGTTTTGGAATTGATGTTGGAGTCTCACTGAGACTGGTGGTTTTCTAGAGGAAACGATTGGCTCTTGAGCAGCTGAATGCAGCTGAAGCCAAACTCTATGTTCTTCCAAATTAGTTGCAACCATCTGGGGAAGACCTTTCTGTTTCAGCAGGACTGTGTCTCCTGCAGCCTGTCCCACTGCCTGATGGGAAACCCTCCTAGAGGAGTGGAGGCAGTTATAGAAGCATAGGGGGAGGGGTAACTACAAAATAAAGCCCATTTGATGAGCAGATGCGCGTGTAGTTTTGGCTTTGCTTGGTGCCTCTTTTGTTCTGTACATAATGCATATGGTAAGTTTAAAATGAAGGTTTTTGTTTTGTGACTCCATTATTTATTTTATAGATAGTTACCTCCTTTAATATTTCCACGTTTTAAATTTCAGATTTCCAGATGTCAGTGCTTGCCATCAGTGTCATGTTTATTAAAACATTGAGTTATGTTGAACTAGTGATCATGTTATGCGGAAAAATGTGGTGTTTGCAAAGTTTTCATCACTATTATGGAGATGAAACTAGTTGTGAAAAAATATACACTACCATTCAAAAGTCTGGGGTTGGTAAGATTTTTTTGTTGTTGTTGTTAAAAGTAGTCTTATACTCACAAAGTCTGCATATATTTGATCAGTAATACAGTACAAGCAGTAATATTATTAAATATTATTACAATTTAAAATAACTGTTTTCTATTTTAATACATTTTAAAATCGATTCCTGTGATGCAAACCTGAGTATTCAGCAGCCATTACTCCAGTCTTCAGTGTCACATGATCCTTCAGAAATCATTCTAATAGGATGATTTGCTGCTCAAAAACATTTCTTTTGATTATAAATGTTGAAAACAGTTGTGCTGCTTAATATTTTTGTGGAAACCGTTTTCAGAATTCTTTCATGAATAGAAGGTTCAAAAGGACAGCAAAATGTAAATGCTGTGTAAGATTGTCACTTTTGATCATATTAATGAATAAAAGCAAAATGAATGTAATAACTTGATTTGTTCTGTTTTCTGGTTTCCTTGCTTTCCTTGTCTATATTTTTGTAGCATTAAAGCATTTGAATGAAACATTTCTAAAGGTGTTTTAATTGCAATACTGTGCTATTGTTTCCATATGTCAGCACAGAAAGTGTTCAAGTACTGAACCTGATAATTATGTCATTTTGTCCTTTTCTTTCTCTTGCAGCAAAAGATGTAATGGTGGATCAGTGAGCAGCGACACTGAGCGACCTGTGCATCCACGCGAGCTCCCTGCCCTTCTTCAGCATGAATGGGGATATGCCTCATGTTCCTATCACCACTCTCGCTGGGATCGCAAGCCTCACTGACCGTAAGTTGCACAAATGCTTGGTACCTGAACTTGTGTAACAAACCTTCCTTAACTAATTATTTATGCACGCTGTGTCTCTTAAAGATGCTTTTAAAAATGTAATGTTAATTATTTAACAATTATGACATAACTTTTATAACTGAAATTATTAGATAATAGAGTGCTATCAGGACAGAGTTCATAGTGTTCAGCTCATCATTTGACTTGAACATGGTGGCCGCCATAAGAGGGAGACCATCCTTATGTAGAATAAAACATTTTTTTGTCGTACACAGATAAACAAATTTATCAAATTAAGTACTATTGATTTCTCTTTGAGTGTGAAAATTACTTGGTGTACCTTCAAAAGTGTAAATATTCATCCAGATGGTATATACTGAAGAATATGCTCTTTTGATTGGTTATCGAAGATGTTGATTAAATGTCTGTTCATACCTTTCATATTGATAGGGCTTGAACTTGATTTGAACAGGCAATCATTTTTTTGTGACTGGATCAAAACTGGAAGTCCTGAAGAAATTAGTGAAATATTTCACGCCTCCTGTTGTGATAAGGAATAACTAATTTTTTTGTGTGTTTATTTCTCAGTGTTAAATCAGCTGCCTCTCCCTTCCCCTCTACCTGTCACCACCACTAAGAGCCTGCTGTATAATGGGAGGATCGCCGAGGAGGTCAGCTGTCTGCTGTCCCGGCGGGACGACACTCTTGTGTCCCAGCTGGCACACAGCCTCAACCAGGTGTCCACCGAGCACATGTGGGTATCTCACCTTGGCCTCCTTCCTTCAGTACATCCTCAACAAATGTGTTTATCATACATGATATGTAAAATATCTGTGAATCTCATTCCATCTTTGTGATTTTACATGCAGAGAGCTGAAGGACAACTTGGGCAGTGATGACCCGGAAGGAGATGTGCCTCTACTGCTGCAGACGGTGTTGTCCAGGAACCCCAATGTCTTCAGGGAGAAAAGTACGCCCACCCGATATGGGGTTCAGGGCGGTAAGGAGAAACTGCAGAAATAAAGCTGTTTAGTCTGGGCATGCTTTTATTCTGTGATCTCTGTTAGAGCTCCCTGGATTAGAAATCCCATTTTTTGTATTTTCCAGACTGTAGTTAGTGTTAATTAGTGGTAATATTAATTATAATTTTAGATGTATGAAACTGCCATAATATAATCATTTTACATTTTGGCTCTGGGCATGCACTATTGTTCAAAAGTTTGGGATCGGCAAGTTATTTTTTTTTTCTGAAAAAAGTCGCTTACGCTCACTGAGGCTTGCATTTATTTAATCAAGCACAGTTCAAAACAGATGTTCTGCTTAATATTTTTATGGAAAATATGATGCATTTTATTCCAGATGCTATGATGAATATAAAGTTCAAAAGAACATACGTCTTTGCTGTCAGTTTTGATAAATCCTTGATTCTTTGATGCATCCTTGCTGGAAAAAAAATGATTAACTTTAAATTATTACTGACCTGCAAACTTTTAAACTGTAGTGTATATATGAAAGTATTGTAAGTGTTACATTTTTTTTGGTATTTGGGTCACAAAATTATTTTATTGGTGACTGAGTTTAATCTAACTCATTGGAGTTCTAGTCAGATGGCATGACAAATGTGAGCTTGAATTGCCATGTCATTTGCCCCATGAAGTCAACATTTTAAACCCATGGTTTGTTGATGGTCTTTGTTTTATGCTTTGAAGGTTTAATGCAACAGCCAATGATACCACCATACAAGATGCCTCAGAATTCAATGCATGGAAGTCCGGCGTCAAACTACCAGCAAACCACTATAACTCCGAGCCCTCCCAGGTACTGTTCCAGTTTCCTTTTTATTTGGGTTAGATAGGTAAGTGGCAAACAGCATACCGTTTTAACTCCATCTAGTGTGATTAAAAAAACCTGGTTCCATTTCCAGTATGTATACTGACCAGTTCTGCTCTTACTCAACAGCCGATATGTTCAACCTCAGGCAGGTTCTGGTACCAGGTACATGCCCCAGCAGAACAGCCCAGTGCCCAGCCCGTATGCACCACAGAGCCCCGCAGGCTACATGCAGTACAGCCACCCACCCAACTACCCTCAGCACCAACAGATCCAGCAAGGTGAGTCTCCAGTCTCCTCTCTAAAGAGAACCTCAAGAGGATTGTCACCATTTTCATTATCTGTAGTCTTAAAACACCTCAAGGCTCAAGGAAAAGTGGTTTTAATAAGATTTGTTCTTAGTGAATCTTCTTTTATCCACGTCCCTTGCTGAATGATATGTGAAACCATCCCTGGCTGTTAAAATCAAAAACTGAAACGTGTATTCAGTTTCTTAATGCATGTTCTTGTTCTTATTGTGAAAAATTAATCAATGCAGATTATTCCAAATAAAAATAAATCGGTGCATAAGTTTTTTCTGTATTGCAGTATCCGTATCCAGTCCAATAGTTCCTGGTGGTATGAGAAACATCCATGACAACAAGGTCTCCTGTCAAGTGTCGGGTAACTCCAACCATAATGCGAGGCATTGCTCCAACGATGAGTACATCAGCATTGTCCAGAGACTTGGAAATGATGTGAGTGCTTGCCAACAGAAGTTTTTATAACCCGACGTATATTTCTGCCTCCAAATTATTTTTCCTTCATTCGATTGTGCCTGGATCTGTATTAACAGCACATTTTTCAACCTGTGTTTTCACAGGAGAGTGACCCCGCTTTGAGAAACGCCTCCTTTCCTGTACGCTCCGTCTGCTCCCCTGCTGGAAGTGAAGGGACTCCGAAAGGTAGATTGAACCTCCATTTTTGTACCTATACCATTTTTAGATGGGTATGCTTTTAGGTCCCTACTTTAACTCCTACTGGTCTCTTTTCACATTGTACTTTGGGTACGTTTGCAGCAGTCTCACCCGTGAGTACCACAGTGCTTACTAGTGCCACATGTGTACCACTGTAAGTAGGTAGCAATGCAGGGTGAGACATTGCCAGATTCACTGTTTAATTTGTGTTATTGTCACTTTGAACATACATCCTTTACACATATGCTTGTACTTGTCTGTATAGTATGAGTATGCTTGCTGTTCTCCCAAGAAAATATATTCAGAGACAAGCAGCTGTGAGAAATAATACTCTCCTCTTGTTAAGTTGTGATGTAAGGAATACTGTTTCTGGGTCCAAGCCTCTACTTTTTTCATTTGAGAATATTGTCTCAAACAGACAGACAGAATGTGGATATGCAAAGATGCCGAAATTAAACCAACCAAACTCTGACAAACTGGTTCATTCCAAAAGCTTATTATGTTGCCATATTGCTGATTTACACAGAAGTATGATTTTTCAACTTTATGTTGGTTAAATTTCAGTTGGATCTCGGCCGCCCTTGATTCTTCAGTCTCCTCCACCC